ATGGCCCAGCCCCAAGCCTGCTCCCACCTGCCCCATGTGCCCTTTGGTGTGTAGGCACCCCCCATCCCTCCAGCACCGCCCCCCACCTGTCGCCCTGCACCGAGAGCACCGAGAGCCCTCCTTCAGCTCCCATTGCTCCCAGAAAACAGAGCCAGCCTGAGTCGTGCGGCTCCACCAGCATGTGTCTGGAGCCTCTTTCTGAGCGAGCTTCCCAGCAGAGCTTTCCTCTCTCTCGTTCTGTCTGCGCTGTCTGTCTCTGTGCTCTCGATTTGGGCCTGCCTCTGTCACCTGGCTCAGCACAGCCTTTGGAAGCTAAGTGGCTCCTTCAGGCCATCGGCAGATGCCTCTGCTGTCCTCCTCAGCCCTCCCCTGCCTGGCATGCATGTTGCGCCTGCCTGAGGCCTGCATGCAAGACTGTAGCTTTGTTCCCAAGAAGGAGAGTTCTGTCCACACTGATACCTGGGGCCAGGCTGGGCATGCAGGGCTCTGATGGGCTAGCCTTTAGGGCCCCTCCCCAGCTGTGCTGGCCAGTTCCAAGGTTCTGGTCATGAATAGACCAGGGGAGGCCTCAGGGTGGGTAGGAATGGATGGGCTTGGGGAGCTGGGGAGGGTCCAGGAGATGCTCAGAGTGCTATGACCAGGAGGTCCTAGGCCCAGGGCAGAGATGCCTGTCTGTTTACCCTGGCCTTGTCCTTCTGCCGCTTCCTGAGATCCCCGCCCTTCTAGGGCCTGGACAGGCAGAGGAGAGCCTCTGGTGAAGGTGCCCTGGACAGAGCTCTCTTCTCTTGGAAATCACCTGCTTGCTCCTCCTTCACGCTGGTACCCGACTCCCTGACTTCCCTGGAGAGGAATCCCTCTGCCTCTCCTCCTGCCATCGGTGCTGGTCTACAGGGACACTGTGCTCTGGAAAGCCAATTTTCCTGGTGTGCGTCACAAAGGGGATGTGTGAGGTCCTGGGCCCACGATTGGATGTGCCAGGTGGGGCGTTGCCAGCATTCAGGGGGCAGAGTCTGGGCTCGTGTCTCTAGCCACCCAGTCTCTACTAGGCCAAGGATTGGATTTAGGGCCCATACACTGGGGGCCGGGCTGGGGGCCCTCCCTAGAGGGGAAGAGAGGCTGCTGTGTCATGGGATGTGGGCTTGGCAGAGGACAGGCACAACCCGGGGAGGGGCCCTGTGCCCCCTTCTCTAGCTCTGTCTTATGGTAGACGACAAGAGACCGGTGGGAGAAGACAGGTGGGTCACGGTGCCCCTAGGGCTCCACCTGGTCAGCTAGGTGACCTCCCAGGCTGAGACCGTGCCAGACACACCAAGGGTACTTTTCTTCCTGGACATCACCTAAGTTCTCAGAGCCTCAGGCTCTGGGCAGCTGCTGGCTATACCCGGTGGTCTTGGTACAGACACACATCTGTCTCCTGCTGTTCTGTCCTTGAAAAATGAGGAGAGGAAAGGGGCTGTTCACCCGATGGGGAAACAGGGAGCAAAGCCGCAGGGCACTGCCTCCAGTCTGGTCTGAAGTACTTTTACTCCTGTGCAATGGCCCTGAGCCTCTCCCTACCAGCCTCCACGCTGGACCTGTGCAGTACCATCTGTTCTGGGTCCTTCTGACGGGAAGGTGCTGGCTGCCTCTTCCAGGCCCCCTGGCTGGGTGGTGAGAGGCAGAAGCCTTCCTGGGGTGAAGGGAGGCCTCACTGGGAGTGGGAGCTCAGAGCTGTGCTCTTGGCTAACCCGCCCCTTGTCCAGTGCTCCAGGCTGCCGATGGAGGAGATGGCGTTGGGCCGAGCTGTAAGGACAGGGGTCTTCCCTCCTGTCTGTGGGCCATACCAGGCTGCCTCAGCCTCTGTTCTGCAGCCCAGATCCCTCCCTGTTCAGCCCGGGCCCCACGCCCCTTCTTCCAGCCTTGGGCAGGGGTCCTTCTGGCTAAGCATGTGCCTGTTCTTTCAGAGGGATCCAGGCTTCTGGCTTGGTGCTATGCTACAGTCTTTACCTGGACTTCTATTTTTCCGCAGCTAGGAGAAGGAGGGACTGCTCCAATGGGGGGGGGGTGGTCCAAGGGTGAGCGTGAATGCTGGCAGAACTCCCAGCCACCCAACTTTGCCTGGGCGCCTGCAGAAGCCACCCCCAGGAGGCGAAGCCCAGCCTCTAGGGGCCTCCAGCACCTTGTAGTCCTGTGGTGGAGGGACCCTGGTAGGCCTGGCCCTGACCTGCTCCCCTTGTCCCTAGCGCCTGGTTCGCATGAACATGCCCATCTCCAATGAGGACATGACCGTCCACTTCACGTCCACGCTGATGGCCCTCATTCGGACTGCACTGGAGATCAAGCTGGCTCCAGGTGAGCAAGGCAGCATCTGGGGAGGGCACCAAGCCAGGACGGGGCGGTCTCACTCCAGAGCCACCCCCAGGTGGGTGTGCAGGGAAGGGGGGTGAGGAGGCTTGTCTGGAGGCGACCAAGGACAGCTGCTCATGGCGCCTCTGTTGGGCACTGACCTTGTCCCCTGATAACCGCCCTGCCTTTGAGCCTTGTAATGATCCCATTTTCATGTGCGGGAGCTGAGGTGCAGGTTAAATGACCTGTCCAGGTTACCCAGAGCATGTGACGGCAGAACCTAGGTTCACATGAGGTAGCACCCTTCCAGGGTGCAGCGTCTGTGTGCCTTCTGTCCACTCCCCGCAGTGACCCCGGGCCCTGTCAGGTCCTCTCCTGAGCTAACTGCTGGGACTGCATAGCCTGTGCCAAATCTAGGAGAGAATAAACCTCCAGTGTATCCTTTCCATCTTCACCCTCCTGTGAAAATTAGAAAAATTAGAGCCACCAGAGGGGATCTGCACTGTCTCTGCCCCCACACCACCCCCCTGGCCGCACTCAAGCCCTTGAGCTCAGCCATTTCATTTGTAGCGGACGAGTCAAGGCCAGTCCTGTACCCTGCCCCCATTGCACTCTAGGTCCCGTCCTCATCATCTGCCCAAAGATGTCCTGCTGGAAATTCTGCA